TTCCAAGCAAAATCCAGTGAATATTCTTTTTTTCATATATTTCACATTCAACTCATCAATAATCAGTGAAAATAAATTCCTTACAAAACACCCAAAAAGCCTTTTCAGTGAAAATTAATTCCAGCTAAAATAATGTATTTTACAGTATTAATGAGGTTTGGGGACTCGTTTCTACCACCTAAACTAGCACATGTTTTAGAACGTGCGGTTTCTATATGCATCTTGCCAGTGATTCTTTCGGTGCCGTTGGAGATATGAATGTAGAAAGCGAGGTGCGAAAATAAAATGAAGACAAATGTAATGTTTTAATCTGAAATATATACTTTCCTTTTTAGAAGCCTGTCAACACCAGACACGTGGTTATATGCCAGACACGTGCATTCAACACCGTTTCGGACGCATTTAGTCGTGTGCATACATTATTTGTATTGCATACTAGTATACAAGATTTCTGTTCTGCGCTCGGGGACCCTCTGCGTAGCGACGAACAGCGCCACCAAGTTCTTTCTTTTAATTTTTTCACCGGCAACTCGAACCAGTCATGTATATAAAAGCCGAACGAATTTTTCGCACACCTCCACGCGCACATACTCGCCGATCCCTGCTCGTACAGCTGTGGAAACAACGCAGTGTAGCCCCTGGGGGAATTATGATGATTGTGCATCTCCAGCTGAAACGTATTGGCATGTGTATAATCATAGACCTTATTTATAACAGATATAGCATAGTGCACTCGTTATACACTGACAAATGCGAATATTGGCACAGCATAACTTATCAAACATATAAAAAAGCGTAGAAAGGTAACAACTAAAACTGTTTCAGATGTATAGGTATATGTATTAATGGGATTATCTATACAGGAGATTATAACCCACGAAGCACACAGGAAACTGGATTATCCATTGTCTCAGACAGAAGTTGCATGTCCATGTTTTCTAAGGTCTATGTTATAATAATCAAAACACAGATCGAATATGCTGAAAGGATCACTCTTACGCAATGGGCGAAGCGCCCTCTTTATTGACTAGGTATATGTGTATCAGCTGTTCCTTCGTTTTGTAATTTCAGTATGTTACAACATTGGAGACTATAGAACGTGTAGGCGCAGAGAGTATTTGGTGGTTCATGCTGGTAATAGATTAACCCGAGCCATAACCAGGTGGATTTTCACACCAAATCAGGGCGAAAATCGGCATTGTGTATTTGCTCTGTTGATGTTCAAAGCGGGAGGGTCGTCATCTGCGCACGTGCGGGAATTGAGTTCCAAGCGACGATAACAGTGGACGCTTGTTTTTAAACAATGACACGCTATGACCGTCTGACACATGCACAGGTGACGACTCCCCCGCTTTAAGGCGCAACCCTAACTACATACCTCCCTCCCAATACGCTTACAAAGTAAAATTGTATGCAGATGGTTTCAGTGAATTATATATTGTCGGGATAATACCTCAATAGTACTTCCTGGGTGAGGAGATTTGAAAAGTAAAATCTGCACCGAAACAATATAGAAAGGGAGGGGGTCCAACAAGGAAATGACACAAAGAGATCACGTATCTGAGGAGAGGAAAATTAATGAACAACTAAAGTGAAAAAAAAAAAATAATAATTCACTCTGCCAAATTGTCAATCCCTTAATACATGTATCTACCCAGTTCTAAAAACTCAATACAGCGGTTCTCGTTCGTACCCAGCAGCCTGAGAGACGACAGAGTTACGTGTTGCTTGCGAACCACGTATAATATCAACCATCCTTATCAATATTTCAATCGAGCACTGCGACAATCCACATAACAGTGCGATACGTATTGCATCAATTGACGTCATCACTGTTGTAGGAATACGTCAGTGTAAACTGTTGTTCCTACCTTGTACATTTCGTACGTCCTTTCACGTATAAGCGGCTCCACGTGCGTCCAATGCGTTCGTTCTCCAACGCAGAAACAACAATAATTTTACGCCCACCAGTTCTAAAATAATAACCAAAAGTAGTACCCCAGTACCGGTTACATGAATCCCGTTTACACTTGTTAGTAAATATCAAGTTGGTTGCCGGACGTTTTAAAGCTGAGCAGTTAGATGCATCTGTGCAGTAATTTGAGAACATTAACGATGACAACAAAAGGGCGTGTAATGACTACACTACAACTGTTATTTATGACTGTGACGTCACGTATTCATAATCATACACGAAATGTAAACATTACAGTATTGTACGTCAGTTCGAATGTTGAATTCTTCATCCAAATCCAACATGGAGAATAACAACGAAAACGAGTTTGACTACTCTCTGCTTTTGCCGACATCCGATTTCGACCGCGCTCCCCCTAAACGAACGCTTTGGGTGATCGGGCTCTGCAATGGCGACGATCCGAGTGAGTTTCAGTTTTACGGTCGATATCTCAGAATGTGCTCTCAATTCACTAATCCCATGTGTATACCTCGATTGTATTATCATCTCGTCGCCTATCAGCACCGAGATGTACGTGTGCGTGTGAATTAATATATCTCCTTTGAAAGAATCATCTACATACATAATGCAATGATCTCGCATGCTATGATCATCGACACGATGCCCCACTAAGACCAAAGCGCCTTTCCATTTAAACAGTCAAAATGTCTCGTTCCTGTGTGTCATCGGCCGCAGAATGCCTAAAAATGTCCGTGTCCTCTCAAATTGACCGCGGTGAACTTTTTTTTTCTTCAGTGCTCCGGACGGAGATGGAGCTGCACGAGGCGGCCCGAACAGGCAACGTGGAACTAGTGGATTTGCTCATACGGCGCGGGGTCAATGTCAACGCCATGAACGAGGTAAGTACGCTATAAGTGGGTTCAAACACTACTACGCCCCATATAACACAGCAGTACAGTATGAGAGGTGTAAGTGCAATCAAGGTCATTCGTATTCTGCAGAGTACACATTAAAGTAGACTATGACAGTGTATCAATTACAGTAGTTTCAGTACTATGTTAACTGAATTTTGAATGATATTATTTTTCCAATATAATTATCTATAATTTAGAAAATATTATAAATATAGTTTTGAAATGTAGGTTTAGTGAAATATCTATTGAATACTGCCTTCTGATAATCCTTGCGTTAGTGAGGCGTAAGTATACAATTACTTTTTTTCTTTAAAAATAGGGTATTGGGCTGGCCAATTCGCGGACAGAATCATTAAGTTATACGATTCCCAGTACACTCGTAGAAGTAGTACCCCGAAGAAAGGCGGAATATACATGCAAGTCGTCCCGCAGCGCTTTTTTGTGTAAACAATGCATCTCCATGCGTTGTATAGGACGCATAGAGATGCATTGAACACGACGCGGCGCAAAGACGGTGACGCTTAAAACTATCTTCGTGATATGACATTTGTAAAATTGCATATGGTTTTATTGACTCTCACTCTTTGCATTACTGTGTGCTTATTGGTATATTTCACACTATGCGGGTTATAATGTACACTTAGTATAAGTAATGTTTGTTCAGTTACATTGTAGTTTGCACATAATCCGCATCAGAGAACTATGTAGAAATATGTAAGTAAAACAACATTTTGGCGGGAAAATTCTAGCATTCACTGCGTTCTTCAATCTAGTCTTTATCGTTTTCTGGTGACGCCATGATCTAGTGGACAGGAGTAGTCCATGAAAAAGCACGCGCTCATACAAGCGCTCTACTACAAGTCTGTAATGGCAATAGAGCGTGTGTAAGTCCCCGACATAGCCATAAATGGATAAGCTATACCAGTTAACGTATTGAGAAAACGTAATTACTTCTTAATTTCGATTCGTCAAACGTACAGCTAAATATTACGACTTTTTATTAATATTCAAGTGATAACACTATATCTCAAAATTATATTCCCATGGTGTTTTGAGTCTTAGAAATAAGTAATAAGTGTTGAGCTTCAGTAGCGATTAATCACCAGTTCAATGAACTCGGTGGTGGGTCAAATGAATCTTCTTCGCTGTACCGTTTTCCAAACATAATGACCACTGAACAATATACCACCCAGGCATGGAACAGATACTAATTACAATATGTTAGCACATGCATTTCTTTTTTTATTAGTTTTATGCAATGTAGTTCAATGTGAAAACGTCGAGTTTTCAAACGAGACGTTTGTGATACAATTATACTACAGCCAAACTGACCATTATCATACGTGTATAGCACATTATTAAGCATGCAAACACCCCCACAATATATGTTCGGGTTTATCCCACGCGATGTGTTGATGCCACTACGACGCTATGACCTTTGGCTGTTCTGTTTCTATGTTCGATTTCACGCATAACAGGGAATCTCGCAGTAGACGGAAAATGGTCTAAGAATTTCACTCTTTGAATTATTAATTCGGATTTTTTCCCAGATAATAAATAAACAATCAAGAATAAATCGACTAGTCGTTCATGGCCAAAGATGTCCCGGACGAATTCACACTTGTTTGTGTGAAAGATTAAATGAGTGTTATTAAACCTTCACGTCAGAGGTACCAATTCACCACCTTTCTATCGAACAAAGACACACAGAGAATCGAATCGTTTCAACCTCTCATCTCAGCGCCACGTCGGAACTCTCCCAAGACCACGTCAACACAGCGTGCCTCGTGGTGAGCTTGCACAACTAACTGAGATCAGCTTTATTCACTTTCCAACCGATTACAGAAGAGTTTAAGAGTTCGAGGCGTGGCCTCCACACATATAGCCAATCACGCAAAGTATTCAACACGCCATAATGTCTGATTAATTGCCCCCGATGTCGGTACATAACCCTCATATTTATCGTCGCCACAAGGGCTAAAACAACACTTCATAGTCGATCATTATATCAGCCAGTTGTTCCAATCACTAATTCTCTAACATACGAATGAACCTGATCATGACAAGTTACGAGCAGTTGTGGATTATCCAGGGGTCACCAGTGAAAGTCGCAATAACTGCAAAAAGCGGCCTCATCTAAACATATGGAAATATGAATCATGACATTTGATTGCCATTTTCATATGTCATTTTAATTCTACCACGTAATTAATATAATGTGTAATATTCGTTCAAAAGAATATCCTGTGTTGAATATTGCAAACATACTACAAATTATTATGCAAATTAAATACAAATAAATGACACGTACAATTATTTTCACACTGTAATGTTATATGTCTGTCAAATGTTATTTTGATTTTGCTGATGTTTCGTTTCCATTTTGAATTCAACAGAAAGATCGTACTGCCCTTCATCTATCAGCTGGGCAGGGCCACGTGGAAGTGGTGAAATCATTGATCGATGCAGATGCTAAAGTTGATGCCGAAGACAAGGTGGGTATACTCACCGTTTCATTCTCTAGTAGTCATTTCTTTAGTAGTGACATTGTGACTACACTGTGTTTAATGAGACGTCTGCACTAGAATGTCCCATGGTGCTTTTAATATTATAATATATGTTACATGGTCATGGTTTATTGATCAACCGTGATTGTCATGACATTTTCCATATGTTTGACTTTGAAGTTTGGTATGAATGCGTTGCTGTGGGCTGCTTGGTTTGGTCAGGAAGAAGCTCTCCATGCACTGGTTGTGGGAGGCGCTAGGATTAAGTGCGAGAACAAGGTGAGTGGTGACAAATAAGAACTATCTACAGTTAGGCATTGATAGAAATGGGAGAAGGCACATTTAATTTATCATCTTTATTGCTATTCAATTTGATTGTAATCTTCAAAATAAAGCATTTGTAATTTCCATATTCGGGAGTTATATTTATTATGTGCTTTCGGGGGTTGGTGCAATAATATGTGAAATTAAAAACATTCTATTAATTCATTGCGAGACTGCTCAGCAATGTTATATGTAGTAACATAGGGCACCACTTATTGATTGTCTCAATAAGCAAATAACACCGAATAAACGGCAAGGTAAAGACTATGTCTAATTATAGTAAATACGTACTGCGTGCGTGACTCGAACCGGCGCTCCCGTACGGCACCTAATCGCCTAGCTTCACGCCACTACACGTCTTCCCCTCGGCCACCGGGCATCCCCAAAAAAGGATGCTTAATAATCGAGCTTATTACGTGCAGAGAACATGAAACCCGTCCACGCGATACGCGCCACAGCAATGATTGCCACAATGGTCTTACATACCTGTAGCTTCAACCTTACTGCAACAATTATGCCAGACTCCTGTAGACAGACGAAGCAATTGGTGTTTCAATCCTTGAGCAGGAAAAGTGTATGACGTCCCGGTTGCTTTGTCATTTGGGTGTTGTTTTTATCTGTAAATAAATAAATATTACTTTGATACAGAAATAATAGGTGTTTCATTGGTTACAGCAAGGACTGGGTTTAATACACTGCGGTGCTCTGCGTGGTCATCTGAATGTTGTGAAATATGTAGTCGAGCAACTCATGGAAGACGAACCCATGAACCCGGATAGTATTATTAAACTAGACGATAAAGAAGAAAAGGTATGTTTATTTCTTTGTCGGTATGTTCATTACTAACTCGTGTCAGTGTTATATATGAGGGAAATATTATAGCTGCTACATGTCGGACATGTTTGTCTGTAAGTGGGGAGTATTGTTCACAAATCGTCACATTCGTGCCAAATATACACTGTATTTTAAAAGTTGAATATATATATTCTCAACATGGGGAAACATATCAATCTTTCTGAGTTTGTTCTGTACTGATCTTCCCATGTTGATGATTCATCCATGCATATTTAATATGTGTTATTACTGTTCTCCAGGGAGGTCGGACACCACTTCATTTAGCTGCAGAACACGGCAAGTCCGAAGTACTGGAGTACTTACTTGGCGCAGGTGCTGACAAAGATGCACTATCTACGGTAAGCAGTCAGCAACCTAATGAGACTTATTAATCTTTCAGACATTACTGCGAATTCAGCACAATTGCATTTATATCCTACACAATTTTCATTTGTTGTTGTTTCAGGATGGTTCGTCCGCGCTTCATTTTGCTGCTAAGGGAGGTCACGAAGACTGCGTTACTTTATTAATAAAAAACGGGGCTGATATAGACGAGAGAGATAATGTAAGTGGTGGCCAAGAAATAAACCCATCGGCGTATAATTATTAAAGCGGGGGAGTCGTCACCTGCGCATGCGTCAGAAGGCCATAGCGTGTCATTGTTTACAAACAAGCGCCTACCCATGAGCCTTTGCGTTTTTAACGTGTGTTGTTATCGTCGCTTGGGACTCAATTCCCGCGCGTGCGCAGGTGACGACCCTCCTGCTTTAACGTAAAAGTACTATTAAGCTACTTCATCGACTACGACAAATATTTGAATTCTTGATATTTGAAGAAAGCATGTCTGTTCCGGTCATGTGATTAACACCCTACACTGCTTCCTATACATTCTTATTTTTGCAGGAGGGACGCACAGCTCTCCACGTAGGTGCTGAAGAAGGTCACCCTCATATCGTAGAATTATTAATTAGGAGTAATGCCGAAATTAATGCTGAAACAAGTGTGAGTATTTGCTGTTGTGTGTCGGCATAAACAGGAGTACATTACAATCGGACAGACATTCGTCAGATGTACGCATGCGCAAGTGTCCCGGATGACGGCGTTTTTTGTGAAACACAACACCTGCAATAATGGAGTAGAATACAATTGAATAATTTCTTTTTTCTTTTGATTTACTCTTCTGCATATAAAACGTGTGTTTAAACTCTACTAAAACAAAATTTTCATTTTCAAATACCTATCATTACTCTAGGAATCGAGCGTAAGTTCATCATGTATTGCACTCTAGTGCTACAAGACGTATACATTTTTTAATATTTCTCTGGGATTTTAAGTTTTTTCTTGCTTGCGTCACTATAGAGACTTTATTAAATCTCTTACTCTGAACATTGGTGAAATTGTCTGACTTCAGTTCCATGATATATAGCCGTGACAAATACTAGTACAAATTTAACGCGCGACAGTCGTCGCGCTTCGCATGTGCGACATTTGTGTTGGTAAACGTTGATTTTCCCTTCAATCCAATGCGCTCTCCTGATGGAAATCACAAGCATGAGGTTTTACCTGGGCGCGACTTGCACTAATTACCGCCGGTGACTCCTTCGATACTTTCCAACTACTAGTATCTAAAAAAATACCTAATTAAAGCTTCGTAACGTCTCGTTGATCTGCGGAACAGTCAAGGTCGCCATCTTTGTTTATGTGAGACCCATATATCTTGCGCATGCGTGGCGCGACGATTACCGCCCTTTAATTTCATACTTGTAAAATCGAAATTGTTGATGTTGACACTGCTCGTCATGGAATGGAATCGCACAATACGTTGCTGTTATAGCGCGGTTGGCACACACTCTAACTTGACTAACCTCATTAATATGCATTGTAAAAACTCGTTTCTCACTCTCCTGATATCAGTATATTTATGATGTCTCTGTCTATGGTCTAATGATGGGATTTGATTTGTGGGACTGGGTGGTATGTGACTACTACGCCTTTGTTGATCATTATCTAATTTCTCTTACTGCACTATTTAGTAAACAAATCGATTGTAATTTACTAACAGACCAATCAGTGTATGTGTTTCTTATAGTGCACGTTTTTTTTACCTTATTTTGACCTTAACTAATTGTACCATGACATCGCATGTCGCTTCATATTCATCACCGTGCTCCTAACAGAAAACAATTATCATCGTCATTATCATAATTACTGTCATTATTCAAATTAAATCAAATTATTCATATTTAATTCTTCCGAAACGTTGCTTTGTTAACACGATGACGTCAGTATTTGTTGTTGGAAGCTGCTCAAGCGGTCATTCTATAAACAATTATAAAAATATTCGATAAAAAAAAACCATGAAGATGAAATATATATTGGCATCTTCAGAAGTACAAATATTTTTATTATTTTGTATGCATTGCTTCTTTGACAAAAATACTGGCCGCATCGACTACTTTTAGTGATTTATATATGTTATTTAATATTTTTTTTGTGGTCTGTTTTTTAACAGAAAGAGATGAGTCCCATCCACCTAGCTGCAAATAATGGTCACACTACCGTTATCAAGGTGCTAATACTACATGGGTGCGATATAGATACTTCGAATAATGTAAGTGGTAAATTGCTCTTGTGTTGCCATGGCAACTAAACTGTTTTTGGTTTTTATAAACTTAATACTGCAAAATACTTTAGCACCATCTTTCAATTCGAACCGTTTCGCTGACGACAACACTTCTTGACTGTCCCTTCAAACCCGTGCGTGATCATGTTATTTGACGGAATGATTTGATTAGGCGCGCCAAGTAGCTGGATAAACCAATCAGCGTTCCTGTTACAACGACTCGCATTAATTTAAAAAAATTAAACCAATAATTTGTGTCGTCTTATAATACATCATGACTTACCTGACAAAACACGCGATTTCTTTTTCGACTTGCTATGGAAATGCATCACAACACTTTACCATGAAAACGCATTGAAGCATGCGCCGTTCTGATTGATTTCGCCCACTGTGAATACAGTGCTAAGGTATATTGATAAGGCGAAAACCGAGTAAATGAAAATGCCCTGGGATTTGCATTCCAATTCCTACTTTTGAGAATCAAGTAGTTTTTCTCCTGGGTGATTATTCAATCTTGTATGTAATGTTGATGGAAACTCGGACATAACACTATAACCTTATGTTTTCTTTTCTTGCAGCAAAATAACACAGCACTTCATATGGCAGCACTTGCTAATCAACCAGAAGTGGTCCAACAACTTGTGGATGCTGGATGTGATGTCAATGTTTGTAATGCTGTAAGTTCCATGTTGCTCTGACCGTGAAATAATCAAATTTTGCGTGTTGTTTGTGACATCAGAGATTCGACTTTCGCATGTCCGCCATCTAGTCACTGTACGCCCGAGTTCATTGCACGCTACCTCGACCCGTTGTACTTGGGATGGCGAGTGCGGTGTAGAGAGAAGTGCGCGTTTCCACGGCAGCTATTATATAATTTACTCTTAGTTGGGGGTGAGGGTATCACAAAAGTTAATTATCTGAAATTGTTATCCACAATTTTACTAATTTCAGAGAAACCAGACTGCCTTACATATAGCAACAGAAACTGGCTTGACAAGTGTTGTGGAAAGCCTTTTAATTGGCGGTGCCAATGTGCATGTTAGGGACAAGGTGAGGATAGCTGTTTATACATTCTATTCACGAACACGTTATCTTGAGATGGTGTTAACTTGAACTTGACAACTATTGTACTTCATCGCGTACATTCAACCTGATTTGTGTAGAAAGCACGAAATATGGACTCTGTAAAATTAGTATGTGTTACTGTAAGTTGAAGAATACATTTTATTATAAATGACTATAAACTAAATATGGGGTGTATTACATCATTATAAGTATATATTTATAGTTCCACATTGAATAGCATACATTGTTATTTTTATTTGTGGATATGCTGTCTCGTAATTCTAAGCACTGTCGTCTGGGTATAGAAATCCGATGAATGCATGTCGCAGCATTTTAATTTCATGATGTAATGAATATATGAATATCTTAGTATATACATAACAAATAAGACTAGTACATTTTAAAAGTATGTTTTCTCATTCTTTCTGTTGTAACAGACTGGAAGAACGGCTCTTCATATGGCGGCGAGGGGAGAATTGGTCACAATTACAGACATGATAATCAAAGCGGATCGATACTTTTGTCAAAAGGTCAGTATAAGGCATATAAAATGCATTTTTCATCAAAAATACCAATTTGTCGATAGGCTTCTTTGTTTATTGTGAAATTGACATATCAAGATGAAGAAATATGCAATTTCAAGTTGTGCAATATGTCTTGCTACTGTTTTTGCCTGTGAACGCTGCTTTTCTTCGATTCACGGAGTTCACCATGTTCTAGTTTACACTGGTTTATGAATTGTTTTCATTTTTAGTTCCGCTGTCGACTTTGTCGAGCGGGGCTTATCATATGAGCGATTGTCCGTCGGCGTCCGTCGTCCGGCGTCCGTCGTCCGTCGTCCTCGTCAATGTTTTATTTTTTCGACTTCTTCTTGAAAACTACAAGCCTGAATGTTCTGATACTTGGTGTGTATGTACCTAGGGTAGACCATTTTTAGATTTGTTCATTTCATGATGATATCTTCAATTCTCTAATTGGTGAATATTTTTGTCATTTTTGGTAAAAAGTGATATTTTTGACTTCTTGTTAAAAACCGCGA